CGATACACAACACTTTCAAATGTAGTTTTTGGTTCTGAAACGAGTTTTCACAAAATTACTCACACGCGTCCATCATTCACCCTTTTGTCAATAAGCTCTTCGTCCAGTACAGCGTCGTGATGAGCCGAAAGCCCAGCAGGCCATACCAATCCAGCGAGGGGCACGTACACACTCTACACATCCATGCAAGCAACAACTTAAGACACACCAACTGATCTACACTGCGTGTCTTTGGACTGCACACACACACAGCACCCATACAGACACAAGGAGAACATGCAGACTCCACACAGAACGCATCCAGAGCCAGAACCGGACCCAAGAGCTACCTAACGCACCGATAACGACACTTCAGTTCCGGGACACAGAAGCTATGACTTCGATTTTGCCATATTTCTTCATTAAATGCTGCAGCTGATTTTGCCTTTTCTACGAGAGGGAGCATAAGGAAACGAGATTGACAAGCAGGTGGCACCGACCCTGTGCAGCGAGTTTTATCGCGGCGCACATGACTGCTCCTAAGTGCAATCATACCTAAAGCAAATACAGAGATGCACTAGTGCTTCAGTATCTGTTTCGTGGCTTGTATTATGCTGCTCCTCACCACCTGGGTGTCTCCGGCACAGAGGAAACTCTGCTGCGAGGCAGCAGCCAGCCGCTGTCCTGTCTGACTCAAAGGTCGTCCCCGGGCCTGGTTAACTCCCAGCCTCGACCCGCCCACTGACATGCAAACTGGGAACCCACCTGCTGGCGGCTGTTTGCAAGAGCACAGTGCCTCCACCCAGAGCTTACCCAAGAGCAGTTCCTGAGCATGCCATCGGTGGTCACATCATCTCAGGTATTTGTGATCGGTGGGCAAATTGTAGTCTGGGTTTAATCCTGGCCTTAAATTTGAAACTCCCTTAGGCAGCAGTGACCTCTGACCCTAGTCCAACAGAGTTCAAAGGTGACCATTAACTTGTCAACCTCTAGAGATCTGGAACAAACTCTTTGTGATCAGATAAATGAAGCAGTTTATGTTAGAACTCATTTGGGACTAAGATCAGAGGATGCTTCCGCCTTCAAAGTTCCCTGAACGGAATAAACGGTGTGCTTGATTTCATCAACCAAATTTCAAGTGCTCCCAGTCTTGACACGGGTGACCTACAAGGCACGGGGCTCTCTGGGATCAGGGTTTGTTTAGTAGAGTGGAAAGAATACAGAAGGAAAAGGACAGGAGGTTTTATATATCTGGCTCCCAGTTATGACCCAGGAAACTGGACTCATTCTTGGGGAATGTGGGAGCTGTCAGCCCGCGACGATGGTTTCAAAATGCAGAATCACTTCTGCTGTGCAAAATACAGACACAGCATCTTTTTAAACTCCAGGTAGACGGCAGGCATACGAGTGAAAAATAAAACAGCGCAACTACTAAACGCCCACAATGCAAGCAGAACAATCCATACGCAGCACTAACAGGTTTTTTAGTGACTTAGCTGTTACGACGGGCTACAAGCAGCCCAGTTCACATCTGACCCCTTAAGGGAAATGGCCGTTTCTCCCTGCCACTAGCCCAAGGCGAAACCCAGCACAGCCCTGCTGAGCTCTTCCGACAGAGGGTCGCAGCTCGGACCCGAGCGACGACAGACGAGGACCGCACGGTGACACTCGGGCCGTGACGAGAATTGCAAAGCGAAGAGGCTGTGGGGTCCGTAAAATGACGACGAAATGACGGGCTGGGTCTGCAAAATGACGACGAAGAAATCTTTTTTTTTTCCCTACATGTATTGACAAGTAGATGACCGTTTCTGGCGTCCTCAATATTGCACGGGTCAGCCGGCTCTACAGACGAACGATAAGTTATAGGATAATAATAACAACAACAATAATAATATACGCATAGACCGCAACAGATCTCGGCGTTTCCTTGCAAATAATCCACCCTTTTCATAACACATTCTGTTTCATTCGACGTGACAACAGACACGGAGACAGAAGGTGCGACGCACACGCTCACACTTTGTTTTTTCCCAACTGTTTCTACCCCTGCTATATCCTGCACCAGTTCCGTGTCAGCGCCGCCGCACACCAGGCGCAGACAGGCGGCAGTACCTGGTGGAAAGGCGTCTCCATCGTGCCGGGAGGCCGGGACAGGCGAGGGGGCCTCGTCGGCGAGTTCTCCGGGGGGCGTTTCGCGGGGCTGTTTCTGTATTTCCAGGGTACGTTTTCCCACCCTCCCTACAGCTAGCTCCGATCCTGCCTCCCCGTCCGCTCGCTCGCTCGCTCGCCGGGACTCCGCACGGTTTACTTCCTGGAAACCCGAGGCGCTTCCACGCTGGCAGCGTCGACGTCCGTCACGTCGCGGGCGGGCGCGCGGCCGGCGACGTCAGCGCCTGCCCCCGGGGCGTCGCGAGCGGGCCTGGGGCTCTTAGCACGCGTCGTCTCGTTCGTTTTTTTCTTTCTTTCTCAATTCAGTTCGATTCGATTCGATTCGATTCGATTCGATTCGATTCGATTCAATTCGATTCGATTCGATTCAATTCAATTCGATTCGATTCAGTTCAATCCAAGATGCTCTACTGGCACGACCAATGGGTAAAATCGGTGTCGCCAAAAGCAGGACACATACCATCAACATAGAACAAAAGTCTACAGACATTGACAATAAAGGAGACATTTACAAGACATATCCGGAGACTCTCCCTCTCAGCGCTTAACTCTTTCCTGCGCGCCCCCCTTGCCCGCCCCCCAGAGAAAACAACAGTCCCTTACACAGTGCAAACTGCTGGGAGCGGAAACGGAGCGGATCACTGTATAACTACTATCTACTGTATAACTACTACCTGCTGTATAAATACTATCTACTGTATAACTACTACCTACTGTATAAATACTGTCAAATGCGGAGCCGATCACACCCTTGGCTGTGCTTGAACACTCCCAGCGGGCCCGAGGCGGAGATTTCCAGAAGATGGCAGCAGTATTGGATCAAGGAACTGTCCGTTCCCATTCCCCGACCGGTCCACTGTCTCAGCTGTGACTTTGTCATCGTATTGATTTTGAGTTTTGTTCCCCCCCCCGGTTGCTCCAGGCTTGTTGTCGTGAGTGATGTGCTGTGGGTCGTGTGTCGCCGAAGGCAGCCCGGGACAGACCCACGAGGAAAGGGACGGGGACGGGTTGGGATCGGCTAGCGGCTCAGTGTGACCCAGAGCAAGCTCCCCCGGGCAGGCAGCTCTGTGATCTGGTTTGCCTGAAGGCAGGGGGTCTCCGATAGCAATGGCAGGGCTCTGTGCCGTACAGGTGCGCCGTGAGAGAGTTTGCTACAGCCGTTTAAATGTGAAGTCTGCAGCTCGCACGCATTCCGATATATTCGGTGTCTGCTGTGAGGAGGATCGCGGTTCCGCAGTCGTTTCGGACAGGGTAGCCCCGGATTGTGTTGTGGGAGCGGCCGGACCAGCGTGTCCTGCCCCTAACCCCTCCTGCTGTTGGTCCCCGGTCCGGCTGCAGCGAGCTCGGCCCGGCTCGGCTCGGACCCGGCGGGACGGAACGAGCCGGGGAGGCGTCGCCGCTCCCGTCACGCGCTGCTCAGGAGCTGCTGCGCACGCAGAGCTTTTTTTTTGTGTGTGTGTGTGTTAATTCCACTTTGCAGAAGCCGGCCAGGAGACCGCACAGACCTCGTCTGTCTCTGACTCCGGGCTGCGACGTGTTGGTAGTTTCACGTTTAACGTCAGGGTAAAGCCGGCTTCAGACAGCAGCGGATCCACATCGCAGTCTGGGGACTGGATTTCTATTTTTAAGCTGTTTCTTAGAGCTCCGGGTGGGAGGCACCGGCAGATCAGATCCCGGCTTTGAAAGCAATGGAATTTTTAAATTGCATTGGGTTGGATTTAATTCGTTCGACACAACAGTGAACCATCACTTCATCTCCGAATCCTCTTAAAGGGAAAAGGGGAGATTGGCTTTCCTTGCTACGGCAGTTTGCAGTTTCGTGTGTTTTTAACAATTCTTTCAGGTTTGATTTTTATTTTCTGGGGTGTGTGTGTGTGTGAAATGAGGAAGGCTTTCTTACTGCAAGCTAAGAGGTTCCCGTGGATCACCAACGTGACCCTCTACGGCTGCCTGTTCGCCGGCGGCGACCTCGTGCACCAGTGCCTGACCCACCGGGACGGGCTGGACTGGCGGCGGACCCGGAACGTGGCCGTGGTGGCTTTCAGTTTCCATGGCAACTTCAACTACCTGTGGATGCGCGCTCTGGAGCGGCGCTTCCCCGGCCGGTCCGCGCGCATGGTCCTGCAGAAGCTGCTGCTGGACCAGACGGTCGCCTCGCCGGTCGCCACCAGCGTCTTCTACACAGGTAACGCGCTCGGATGGGACCGCAAACCCCCCCCCCCCCCCCGCAGGCGGGCCGGCGCGGCGGCTCTCCCGAAGGAAAGACTGGGACTATCGAGAGCGCGTCGCCGGAAGGCAGTAGCGGCCGAATTTAATTATGCAGCTCGTCCAGGGTACTGCGCTGGGATAGGGGGACCAACTCCACAGAGAACCGCATTTAGCTTCGGTTCCCTGTAGGACATTCCGCGATTTGAGATGTATTTAGAACATGTGCATGTTTCTGTTTCGACAGCTGACGTTCCGAGTTGCGATTTGCCATTTACTATAACATAATACTGTGTAGCGTACTTCAGTACTGTGTAGCGTACTTCAGCTGATGTCAAATCTGGAATGTCTCTCGGGGAACAAGGCAGATACTGACAGTAGCCCTTTAATGAACAGTTGCCGCCCGGTTTTGCAATGCTACAGGTCACCTCTGACAGGTGAAATGCTGCTTTGTTTGTCTGCAAACTTCTGGGGTCGTGGAAATCCTTTTTGTCAGAGGAGAAAGGTCACAGTGTGTCGTTTACAGCAAAGGCACAAAACCCGTGGCTCACTGAGAGAATGAAGGTCACTGTTTTGTAGGTCTCAAGTTAAACAGAAAGTCTCAAGCGGACTCTCAGATAGCAATTGGAGTGTTTCACACATGGAACAGATTTCGGACAACAATTATTTTTCTACTTAAAATATATCTTATGTATAAATATCTAAGCATTTAGCACCCATTATAGCATATAAAACACAGTCGGTCTGACCTGTACAAAGTACAGTCTGTGAAATATACTCAAACGGATTTGGCATCAATTACATGATCTTTCTGCGGGGTATTGGACATGATGATGAAAATGTGGTAGGTTTGCGGTAACCTGTCTGAAACCTCTGTCTGGGGGAATTCTGCCATCTGAGTTCGGGTCAGGGCAGGTTTGGACCCAGGCCCGGCGGGTCAGTGCTCAGACAGTCGGTTCTAAAGACCTGTAACGGTTTCAACTACTGACATAATTAGATCACGGATCCATCATGCAGGCAGTCTGGCTGGGGATAGCCGTGAATTGAACCAGCTCTCTTTACTGAGGCAGTGCGTTCCAGGTGTTCTGTCCGCAGAAACAGGACACCAGAAAGGCTCACTGGGCTGCGTTCTCAATAGGGATGGGCCGTCCTGGTCCCGGGAGTCCAGTGTGTCGACGGGTTTTCATTCCAACTCGGCTAACAGCTTCTCCCAGTGTCTGCTGGTTTGTGTCAATCACTGGTAACGATCACTTAACCACTAGTGCTAAGAACTCCGGTGATTGAGTGATCATTGTTTGTCTGCACTGTTTACCAGCAACCTCTGCACACAGGTACGCGGTCTCGCCTCTACGTGCTGATAAAGAATTCGCTCCCGAATCAAGAAATGTCGGCAGATACGTTTTTAACATTCGTAGAGGACTATGGTTCTGTCGGGCCCCACGTGATAATCATTACTGGGAGAGTTTGGTGCTCAGTGATCACGTTTATTTACTCTAGTTTCAGGGGCAACTTTAAAATCCTGTTCTATCTCGGCGTCCTCGGATTGTGGGACGAGGTAGCGCCGTGCTTGGTGTTATAGGGGCCACTGGAGGGCGCCAGTGCAGAGCCCAGTGGTACGTACCCACTAGCATCGCAGGTTTTCCCCCAGGAAATGTCACCGAAACCTGAACTCGCGATCTACTTACTGGAAACAAAAGGAAAATGGTTAGCTGTTGTGGGGAGGCGTGGGCAGGTTGTATTTAGTGTGCGATTTTGTATGTCAATAGATAACCTGAATAGAAAATGGCTGACATTTGATATGCTTTGTGGGTCAGGAGTGAGTCTCCTCGATGGAAAAGACGACGTACTGCAGGACTGGAGGGAAAAATTCCTGAATACCTACAAGGTATGACCGCGGAGAGAACGAGAAAGTGACAGTCTGATATTGTGTTTCAATCAGTCACCCCCCACAGTCCTCGCGTGTGTTAACCTCTCCCTAATGAGCAAACACACCAATAACACAATAACACACCGCGCTGTGTTCATCCTTTAGCGCAGAAGAGACTTGCATCCAGAAAGGGAAACATATATTGCATGGTCTATCTCTAAATGACATTAAAATGAGCTCGATATTAGCAGATAGTACATTATAAAGTACGCGAGAATATACGATCTCCTAATTACGAGACAATACATTCTCGCAAACGTTAATCACGCAGAGGCACAACTGCCATAAAATAACTATCTAGAATGATCATTCTCAGTTCAAAGCAGTGGAATGGATAGCATGGCACGGTGGTGCTGGTTAAAGGATACGTGTACGTGTCCTCATGGTTATGATGGTGTTCACATTAGGTAAAAAAGTGTGACAGGTCATGCCATTAAACCCCAGTGGGAAAGGCAGTCTGTGCTCATTCTGCAGCGCCGGACACTGTCACAACACTAAACCCACAGCTCCAGCTGAGCTCTCGGCAACGTCCAGGTGCCTCACGGGATCAATAAAGTATCTATCCGTGATCGGCTGTTCACACTCAAATGACCACTGCGATCTCAGCGTCACATGATAATGTTCTATGTTGTAACAATGAGATCGTTTTCTTGCAATTACAAGATACCGCATTCATTTGTTTTTCTCCTTAAGGGCAGCAGTGTGCTTCCGAGTGTGGTAAACTTACATGACATTTTTCATTCCTGAATGACTCTTTAAAAAGAGTTCTGTTCTCCAGTCTCCGGGACTGTTTCTGCTGAAAAATTACAAAAGAATGCGGATTGAAGCTAATGTACTGATGTTTTGTCCGATTTATTTCAGACTGGACTCATGTACTGGCCATTCGTTCAGGTAAAAAAACTTTCTCACTTGAATAGTATCTGTACCTCTGTGTTACTTTCTGGGTACATTAACATCCTGCTCTTGCAAACCCCTTGTATTACTGTTCTAATTCTGACTTTTGTTTGTGTTTACAACATACCTGTTCTAAAGTATAATTTATCTGGAAATCAGAGAAATCTAGAGGGCAAAAGAATCCTGGGACTGCATTCACACCCCTGCATGAGGGGATTTACAGGAAACACCGCTGGCTCGGAGAAGCACCTGCGACTGTTTCAGCTCAGAAGTTCTGACTTCTTTGAGTTTCTGAGACGAGATAATTCTTTCATTAGGACAGATGCACTAAGCCTATACTGGAAGATCTTCTGAGGTTAAAGAAAGCAAGTGGCTGCTCCTGAAGTGTATCAGTAAAAACACAAAAGACCCGCGTGAGTCTGTGGATACCAGGAGGAAGACCATCTGAGAACAGTGGCTTCTGTACAGATCCTTCACTGGGTCATGTGTCTGTCCCTGCTTCCCTCCCTCTCCCTCTGCCTCCCTCCCCCTCTCCCTCCGCCTCCCTCTGCCTCCCTCCCCCTCTCCCTCCCTACACCTCCCTCCCCCTCTGGCTCCCTCCTTCCACCTCCCTCTCTCTCCATTTCCCTCCCTCCCTCCACCCTCCACCCCCCTCTCCCTCCACCTACCTCCCTCCCTCTCCCTCTTCCCCCCTCCACCTTCCTCTCCCTCCATTTCCCTCCCTCTCCCTCCTGACTCCCGTCTCTCCTTCCAGCTGCTGAACTTCCTGCTGGTCCCCCTGTACCTCCGCACGACCTTCACGGGCTGCTGCGCCTTCCTGTGGGCCACTTTCCTCTGCTTCTCGCGCCACAGCGGGGACGGCACGGCGGCGGCCGCCTGGGCCTGGCTGACGGCCCCCGGCGCCGGCCAGCAGAAGTGAGCCCCCACCGGCCCCCCCCCCGCCCCCCCCCGGCGGCTCCGAGCGCCTGCAGGGGACCCGAGCAGAAGCAGCAGCGCTGGGGCGCCTCCGCCAGCCGGGGGGCGTCTCCCAGGGAGCAGCCCTCTGGGTCTTACTTCAGCAGACACACGTGCACAGGAGGGCAGCTGATCTCTCTCTCCCTCCTGACTGGTTGTCAATTCTGTTGGGGGGGAAAAGAGATGGAATGAGTACACCATCGTACCAGCCTGCCGGCGTGTCTGAGCACAGCGGCCCTCCAGAACCTGGTGCCTCTGTGTCTCCAAACGTGTGGGAGGCTAAACTGGACCACAGACCTCATACTTGAATAGAAGGGTATGTTGCGTGAACATACTTGAGAACAAACCAAAAGTTTTGTACTGTGTAACGTGTTCGTTAATACTTTCTCTTTCGTGGTGTTGCACAATCGGCGCCGGGGCAGGTGTGTACCCTGGAGTGAGTGAGTGCTCCCGTGAAGGGGGTCAAGCTCATGGGGTTTTCCCCTCTCCCCTGCTGGGGTTGTGCAGCGTCTTTGCTGTTGGTGCTGCCTGTGCTGAGGGGACGCGTTTGGGACAGAGTCGCAAGTCTCGGCGGTGCTTCGGGGTCGCTGTCCAAACGGCACGGCGCTGTCGATGGGCTGAGGGCCGGTCGTCGTCAGCGCCCAACAAGCCGTTGAAAGATTTTGGGGAGGGGGGGATTAAATCACACGCAGCAGCCAAAGGGCTCTGGCGCCTGTGTTTCATTCAGGATACGCACACCGTTCGAGTCGGCCCACCTGTGCAGCACAAAGGGTCGCGACCCGGAGCAGGGGATCATGTGACCTCGAAGTGGCTCGTTATTCCAGTGAAATCATCAGCCGGGGGGCTTCTGGGGAAAATCGCACAAGTTCAGAAATATCTTTCTACAGGCAAGGTGCTATAGCTACCTGTAACTTGCAGGTACATTTAAAAAGCTACTGTAAGAACATGTATGGTTTTGTGTGATTTGTATGATCAATTTTTAATGTATTATGATTGATGAATTAGAAATATATGTTAATTTAACAAGTGTGTCACTAATAATGAGAATTTCAAACATTTGTGTATGTGTGGACAATACTAGTAGTTTCATGTTTAAATTTGCATAATTTGGGACATGGAAATGGGATTTTATTGTTTTGCACTTTATATGCTGGAATTTTAAAACTGAAGTCTGTTTTTAAACGGGTCATGTTAGTGTTTATTATTTAAAACAAAGCTGCCAGGAGCTAACGTTTCTATTTTCCGTGCAACAAAACATGAAAAAAGTAACAGTTTTGTTGTTTGTTGCTTTAGTCCATTCAGTATTATTCTACTGAAGTGTTGAATGTGCGCCTTAGTCCTCTGATCTGTTGTGTTTGCTGTGCTTTTCTGTATCTATGCAAGTGGGAATGTTGCTCAATAAAGGTGTCATTTCTCAGGCTTGTTTAATGGAGTCACGTTTCTGCTGGATTATTTCGTGTTGTGATTGGTTCCTTAAAAGAGGAAGTTGCACGGTTTTTAGAGTTTGAGATAAGCAGAGTGAGGCTTCGATCCGCTGAACAGCTGGCTTCGGTGTGGTGTAAATTAAGTTCACAAGGAGACTCGATCGAGTGAAATGTGGCGCAGCTGTAGGTCTGGAAACGATCAGTTCAGTGCAGACAGGCCGAGCAGGTTGTGCTCGCTGTTGTCAGTCTGTCCCCGCGAAGGCTCTGCGTCCACCGCGCGCCGGGGCTCAGGTCATGGAGAAAGGCAGGAGGGCAGCTGGCTGTGCTTTCTGTTCTCTTTAACCCCCCTGTGACAGGCTCTTCCCATCCCTCCTGCCTCCTGCGATCTGGGGGAAACAGCCCCCTTTTCTGATGGGCTCTCGATGGGCTCGCCCTTCACGTGATGCACCCTTGCTCGGACAATTTTACAGGCACTTCACACGCCCCAAAAAAGAAAGCCCCTTCGGTTAGTTTTTAAGCATGATGTGAAAAAGAGCTCAGAAGGAGGTTTTCTCCTGCTGCGTGCTGCAATCACGTGGCCGCGTGTGTCCAGTAAGGCCTGTCGCTCAGGGACCAATGTGTTTCCCGTCCCGCTGACGTCCCGCCTGGCCGCTGGTCCTGGCAGTGCCCTCCCAGCTCCTCTCCGCCCGGCGCAGGTCAGCACAGCCCGCACCATCTGCGCTCCGACGTGCAGCGCGGCCTCTCTCTGCCCGGGCCCGCCGCAGCAGTGCCCCGCCGAGGCGCAGACCTCTCTCGGCACGGCGCAGCAACGGCCGGGCTCCAGCTGTCCTCTTGTCCTCCTCTCTTTGGACGGACTCGTGCGCAGGTGTGAACACGTGCACTCTTGTGTACTGCGGGAGGTAACCTAGGCACCCGAACCAGAGTGGGATCGATGAGACGAAAGCAGTGGTGCCCACTTCTGGCACCTGAGGCACACAGTTTGCTGCATTTCCTAGCAAATAATTACCCTCCCCCAAAAATCTAAATTGATTCAACATCTCACAAACGGCTTTCATCGGCCAATCACTGAAGAAATGATTTCCGGGCCAGAAAGCTGACATCAGGCTCCCTTGCTGTACACAGCCCTCCCGGTGGTACCCACCACCTCCTCCTCCTCGCCTCCGGTCCGTAGTGCGCATGCTCGCTGCATCCTTCCCGGAGCGCACGTCAGCCGAGCTCCAGCCCGGCGGAGAATGGAGGCGCTGAGCACCGCGGAGCCGCGGCAGCCCGGAAGCGGGGGAAAGTGATAACAGTCAGAACACAAAGCCAGCAGCGAAATCCACACGCCGAGTCCACAGAGCGAGTGCGCCGGGGGAAGGAGGGAGGGGGAAGGCGAGGCAAACTGAAATCCGGGAGCCAGCAGAGCTTCTGCAGCAGCGGCGGCGGCGGCGATGGATTTTAAAAAGGCGATCGCGGAGAAGGAGCGGACGCAGAGAAGCTACGGCGCTGTCCAAGACACGGAGTGGAAGGCGGACAGAGGTGTGTGTCTTTATTGTTCCAGCGCCGGGGCGGTGGGGGGGGGGACAGGACAGGGGAGTTCCCGAGGGGTGTGAAGGATCTGTACGAACAGTCAAGCACATTTATCTCATGTCAATCAACGACGTTGCTTGCGAGGACGGAGAGAAGCCCTGCCTCTCGGATGGGTTTGTGTGTGCGGGCGGGCCACGGCCGGCTCGGCTGGCAGAGCTGTGGCCGGTCTGCCGGACCATCTCGGCAGCACCGCGTGTCCCGCTCCCGCTCCACTCAAGAGTAGTCCGGCAGCGCGGGTTTCCCCACGCTGAGCAGCGCTGTTCTCTCCCAGCTGCCCGCTGCCCGTCCTGCGCCTGGCTGTCGAAATTCTCGCCCTGTGCTGTGTACGAGAGGCCACCCCCACCCGCTTATCGATCTATCAACTCCCTGGTATCAGTTGGTCGAGCAGCTCGTTCATCATATAAAGGACTGATAATTCCCGTCGCGAGTTCAGGGACTTAGTTGAAATAACAACCCCTCGGTTGGGTTAGTGATGGGTTATGGGTTTTTTTTTCTTACTGGGTCACTGACACTCCTTAAACCAAACTGGTTTGTAGGTGCATAGAACGTCACATCGGGAGAGAGGCAGGAGCTTGGAAGGAGCAAATCCAGGTCGCCAGAAGGAAGGGACAGGCTTCCTGCTATTTATAGCGGGTTCTGGCGCTGCTCTGCCCCACTGTGCCGATGAGCCCTGCCAGGGCTTCGCTGGTTGATGTAATTGAACAGGGCACTTGCACAGGCTCCGCCCCACGGTGCAGCCTATGATTAATGAGAAGACACGGGCACACAAGGAGCAGCCCAGCCCGGTTCTTTGATTACCTGTGGGTAAGAAGTCATGCGTCCCAGCTGAGGGGACAACACTGAGGGAGTAGTTTCAGAGCATGGCTGCGGGAAAATGGGGTGACAGCCAAGAGATGGCACTGCGATACCACAGGCGTGCACCTGCAAGCACAGCGGTGCCTGGGCTGGTGTTGATCAGAGTCCCGTGGCGACTGTGATGAATCGTCCCTTAAACTCGCTCGCAGGGCCCGGCTGCATCACCTGCAGTCCTTCGGCTCGTACTGCACCGATCCAAGCCCCATTCTTGCGGACGCAAAAAAAGATCTTTTGCCGTTGATCTTATTGAGGGTGCCGTGTACCCCTTTGCTGTCTTTTGCAGCAGCTGTAGCCCTCTGAGGTGGGCTTTCAGGGCTTAGGGCTTTATCAAAAGCCAAAACCTGCTGCTGCAGAGCATTTCAGTCCCTCGTGAGTCAGGAGCTCTCAGGAGCAAGGGTAGCAACACCTCTGAAAGTAGCATTGACCGATCAATGTTGTGGACTGTGCTCATCACCCCTTACCTTGTCACATTCCTACGTCCTTCGGCAGAAAGCAACTTAGTCCCATTAAGCATAAACTTCGCGATGTTAATGAACCTGACCCACCTGCGGCTGGAACGCGGCAGGAAACCGGGGCACTCCGAGAAAACCTTGGCTGAGTTCTGGAGGACATCAAACTCCACACAGAAGGTACCTGATAATGAATTTGAACCCAGGACCCCAGAGCTGTGAGGCAGCAATACTACCCCCTCCCCCCTTTTCTCCTGTCCTTTTCAAATGAGCCCCTTTCTTTCACCCGATATCACGCTCTCCACCAAATGGCACAAAGTGTCCCATAGAACGAGCACCAGATATGCCAGCTCGTGAGGCAGAAGAGCCGCTGTGTTTCAGCTGTGGGACGGTCCCCTCTGCACCCTCCTGATGTAATCATCCCTGCACGATGTGGAATTTACATGCCTCGAAAACAGAAAAGGTAGTTGCGATCTATACTGGATTTCAAGTGGTTGCAAATAATTTGCTCCATGAAGGACAGTTCCATTACACCACTCGTCATGTCTGCTATTCTTAGCTCACCTTCGTCCAAGATAATGCCGCTCAAACAGCTTACTTCATCACCCTTAGAACTAGTATGACTATTTAATAGACTATTAGGGTGTTTCGCCTTGTACCACAGCAGCCTGGAGAAGCTGCTGCAGGGCATCCATAATTCAGGAAGGATTCAGGCACTCTGGGGAAGAGAGCCACAGCTGTTTGAGTGTGTTTAACTGCTGCCAGTTGTGTGCATGCCTGAAGCACTGCCCTCCACTAATACCTGCAGGATTTGTCCTGTGCAAGTTTTTATGGGAGTTGGTATTTCTTTTTGTTTGCAGGTTTGATGGGCTGCCATAAAAAAAAAAAAGATTATGAGGCCATTTGGGAACTGGGTGCTGATCACTCCCATCATTCCCAGAGGGTCAGTGCTGGACGTGCACTGCACCATTGTCCCCCAGCACTTATCATGAAACGTAATCTCAGCCCCAGTGGTTGCTTTATAAAGATTGCACTGTGACAATAGCAGGTCGTGGAGCTGCTGCTGAAATGGACTTCTTTTTGTGCCTTTGGGTGGTCTTCCTATGGCATGTAATACACCTGTCCTTTTCCCAGAGCACATTTATCTAGTACTCATTCCTCGAATAGTGGGAGAACTAAGGTGCAGAGGAGACTAAGGGAAAGACAGCAAGTAAGCACAGCGAAGTCCCACTGGGAACCTGCAACAAACTGCCAGGAGAGCCCGGTATCACAGGAGACAGGGGTCTGATTCATAGTAAGGAACCAGATGACATTCTCAAGTAATAAGGTTCCTTATTAGACCCAGTATCTTTCCTTGCTGTCCCTCCCCACCCACCCTGTCTGAAAAGTGCAAGATCCAGTTTATCCTGCACATTTCCTTCCACATTGCTAAATGCAACACTTCCCTGTTGGTGAGCAGGAAAGGAATTATTTCGATGCCACGGGGCATCTCAGAGCCAGCATTAACTACAACGGGCTCCCTTCTTCTGAGCCGTTACAGTGCGGAGAAGCGGCGCAGCGCCGAGGAAGCATATGGGTCTGAGAATCTTTGCGCTCAGGGCTTTTGGACTGCTGTGGGTTCAGAGCGTATACACCTGCATGCTCAAAATATCTAAAACCTCACTAGGTTCTTTATTTCTCAAGCGTAGCCTGCCTGACCTGACCAGCGTGAAAGTTGGTGCCCACTGATCTGTCCACCCCAGCCAAGATCTAGTGCCCACGAACTCAGTATGCGGTGACACAAGAGCTTCGTGTGGTTACTGGCATCATTGCTCAGCAGACACAAGAGAGGCTCGCTTTATACAGAGCACTTAATAACTGAATGTAGATTAAATAACAGCACATCAGGGGAAATCTTGATTTACTGACTTCCATTACAGCACGTTAAGTTACAGGAATAAAAGTGCATTGTTTTCATCATATGCCACTGTCATAACCGCATTACACGTTTTAAGATTATAAATGGGATACGCCACGAGCCTGCGCCTGTTATTTGTGTTATCATATGCACAAATCCCCCACTCTCCACATTGCTGAAGCGCGCCAGCATCTTTTCTCGCGCTCCTTGGATCTGTGTCCTAAGTGCTGGCCAACTGGCAGCTGAAATAAGCAAACGAGGAGGAAGAGATTTGCATACAAGATGCGACAGCCAGCAAATTTCAACACCTCCCCCTGCTCAGCTCGGGAGGCTGAAAACGAATCCACCAGAGACACGCGAATTAAACATTGGAGAAAGTTTCTGAAAAAACAGCTCCACGACACCTGCACGCCTCGGTGCTTTTCAGCAGAGTAGTGAAGCCTTAGACACTACATTGACAATTGACAACATGGATAAACACACATGTAACTGTACGTACAAGGAGGCTTTGCTTCTTTTGAGAGTCACCATGTTAGTGCAGCAGGGCGCTCGTCCCGAACTCACGTGTGTTGGAGCAGCTATGCCATAGAAGGCGAAGCAGCCCTGTTCTGTGGAAATCAGTAACAGCCATGCCTGGGCTGTAGAGGTCAGGGCGGCAAGTCCTGATCGTTTGCTTGGTGAAATATTAATGAAGTCCAGAAGCAGGCAGATCTATTTACACTGCATTAAAGGCAGGCTGGGTATGGGCAGGGCAGCACACTCTTTTGGAGAGATGGTTTGAGATTGTATAGTCGGCACTGCATCACTTTATGAGATGTAGAGAGCATGCTCAATAGGATAGCATCATGATGCCGGGCTGCAGTGAACTCACTTGGTCAATCAGTGTGCCAGGCCGCAGTGGGCTCACTGGGTCAGAGTCAGGGTGCTGGGCTGCAGTGTGCTCCCTGGGTCAGAGTCAGGGTGCCGGGCTGCAGTG